CAACCCCCCCCCCTATTTTCCTTAATTCCGTAATCGGGGGTTACCATTCTAAAATTTTCCCGACTTCTCTCTTTTCTTGGGCTAATAAGCCAGAGTCTTTACTATTTACTATATTATATTTTGCACACAGAGTTCTTTTAGCAGTCAGCTAATTGCACCCAAAATAAGAAACGTTTTTTTTTCTTTTGACAGCTTCATATTCATTTCTAATGACAAGTAAAGTTTACTTTGAATACAAGATTCATGTGAATTATAAAAAATATACCTCTCAAACACCGAGTGTAGCGTATTTTCATATAATGATCATGTTTTGTACTTCATTGGTGAAAGTGCCATAAAGAGAGTAAAATAATTGATTGTAGGCATAAACGAACAGCAGTTAATTGCTTTTCAAGTGTAATGAAATTGTCGAAATTTCTTCAGTTAAAATTACAAAGTTTCTCAAACCGAAAAAGTTGCCTGTACATGCATACATATTATGTTTTTTTTTTTATAGTTTTCCTTATATCAGCCACTTTTGTTGTCTGCAGCTTATGTAGTATGTATATCTGGGCATATGTATGTACATTAGGGTGATTCAAAATTGGAACTTTTTTGAATTTCGACTGAGAACGTTCGGATTCTTGAAGATAATAGAGAAAACAAGTTCATTTTAAAATTCCAGCTTATTTGAACAATATTCAGAGGTCGCTCAACGCTGTTGCTTATTTTCCGGAAACTGCAGATTTTAAATGCATCTTTATAAAGAAATAGGTATATTTTCATCAAATCTTGTCGGATTTCGTTGTAATTTCGTTGGTAGGTTCCCAAATATCGGTTTATTAGAACACAGTTTATATAAGTTCGATAAATTAGTTTTAAATACATTCATTAATTAGTTATAACTAAGTTTTCCATTATAAAAAATTAATATTTGCAATGTTTTTTTTCCTTAACCAGTGGGTAAATTCTTAATGCATCTAAGATCACATTATTATTCATACCAATAGTGGACCTCATCATTAAATATTACTAATCATTAAAAAAAAAAAAAATTCACCAGATAAACATCACTCGTACGTAATGTGACTAACTATTGCAAAAAAATAGCAATTTTTAGCCGACTTCGCTATTTGCCTTATTTTCTTATTTTTTAAACAAACTTTTTTTTAAACAAAATTTTTTCTAGCTTGAATTTGTATTTCTACTTGTGATTTATTTAAATAAAAGATGTGAAATTTACCTGAAACAGTGCATAAAGTTCTGGCAACACTGTTTTGAACCCAGAAATTTTAACAAGAATCGGTCTTATTCAACTAGTGTGCTGTTAGTCGCTTGGCGGTCGATGCGCGGGCTTATACAATAAAAATATCGCCCATGTGCTAAGAAATAGTTTTTCGCATTTTCTGACGAACGTGTAATTTTGCGTTGTATCACCTTTGAAGATCGTGTGCGATATGTATGTATGTACATTAGACTGCATCACCAAAAAGCGCTGCCGTTTTTTCGCCGGGATTTAAATTTTTTATTATATTTGACCACGTCCACCAAAATATTTCGGAAAATACCTCCAAAAATTGAGTTTTTTTATGAATAAAAATAGTTTCTTAAAGAACTTTTTGAAAAAAATCACCTCAGATGACAAAACAGATTAAGCTTTAAAAATCTGCATACAAATATTTAAAAATCTTTTCAACGGAATCGTAATAATGAGATTTTAGTTGCTGTTTTTTAACTTTTTTCAAAGAATGATTTACGAAAAACTTGAATAGCTGGGCCAATATTATTCTGATTTAGACTTATGGGATATCAGTAGAAAGGAATTTTCCCACTATTTTTATTTATGTGCACAAAAAATTCATTGAAATCCCTTTTTTTCAAAATACCAACACATCTTAATTCAACTTGGAATGACGCTCGTANATGTGCACAAAAAATTCATTGAAATCCCTTTTTTCAAAATACCAACACATCTTAATTCAACTTGGAATGACGCTCGTANATGATTTACTAAAAAACTTGAATAGCTGGGCCAAAATTATTCTGATTTAGACTTATGGGATCTCAGTAGAAAGGAATTTTCCCACTATTTTTATTTATGTGCACAAAAAATTCATTGAAATCCCTTTTTTCAAAATACCAACACATCTTAATTCAACTTGGAATGACGCTCGTACCTTTCCCTTTCATCCTTTGAATGAGTTTATTAACAAAGAAGTAAAAAGGGCGAGAAAATACCTTTCCAATGATACCTCACAAGTCTAAATCGGAATTGTTTAGGTTTGTTATTCAAGTTTTTTTTATACCATTCTTTGAAAAAAGTTAAAAACCAACATAAAAAATCTCATTATTACGATTCCGATTTCTTTAAATTTTTTTTTAATATTTCTATGCAAATTTTTTAAGCTTATCCCGTTTTGTATTTGAGGGGATTTTCTTTTCAAAAAAAAATCTTTAATAAGCTATTTTTATTCATAAAAAAACTCCATTTTTGGCGATATTTTCAAATCGGTCCAGCTCAGGTAAATCTTAATATGTTTCCGAAATATTTTGGTGGAAGTCTTAAAATATAATAGATTTTATAATTCCAATGGAAACACAGTACCGATGTTTTTTTTTTTTTGTATGGGGAGTGATGCAGTCTAATGTACATATGTGAGCTTTTTTTTTGCGCATTGCTTGCAAACAATTAATTACCGTTGTAATATTATTNAATCTTTAATAAGCTATTTTTATTCATAAAAAAACTCCATTTTTGGCGATATTTTCAAATCGGTCCAGCTCAAGTAAATCTTAATATTTTTCCGAAAAATTTCGGTGTAAGTCTTAAAATATAATAGATTTCATAATTCCAATGGAAACACAGTACGGATTTTTTTTTGTATGGGGAGTGATGCAGTCTAATGTACATATGTGAACTTTTTTTTGCGCATTGCTTGCAAACAATTAATTACCGTTGTAATATTATTTCTAATTTGAAGATAGTTGCTTTCATTGTTTTCAAATTAATTGCTGTATATTAAACATTTCCATATGTTCTTTATTTTCTAGGAAAGCAAAAAATTTACTGTGCAAAATGCGATAAAAAATGTTCCGGCGAGGTGCTACGCGTAGCCGATAAGCATTTTCACAAAGCTTGCTTTCAATGTTGTCAATGCAAAAAGTCGCTCGCCACTGGCGGATTCTTTACCAAAGATGGCGTTTACTACTGCATTCCCGACTATCAGCGTCTGTACGGCACGAAGTGTGCCGCTTGCCAGCAATATGTCGAGGGCGAGGTGGTTTCCACGATGGGAAAGACGTATCACCAAAAGTGTTTCACGTGCTCTAAATGTAGCAATCCATTTAAATCTGGCAGCAAGGTAAGTTCATAGTACATAAGTACATGTTTTCATTATCTTCGCCAAAGCACAATTGGCTCATTTCAAAGTAATCGGCACAAGATATTACAATAATTATTGTATAGCTTTAATTGTTATTTTCTTAATTTTCCTAAGAACTATAAATTTTTTTATCTTTAAGTTTTGATTTCTTAAGAAAAATAAGCAAAAAAAATCGGTGTTTTTGACCTTTGACCTCGGATATATTTTTTAACAGACTTGAGATCTTACCGATTTCTTTTAATATATGCAGTATTTGTAATAGTGTACCCAATACCTCTTAATTCAAACGTACTTAAATTTGACCGGACTGCTAAAAGTGGTTCTTGGCATTAAAATTTAACTATTTAAAACTAAAAGGTAAAGGGGAAATTATCAGAAAAACTATATGTATACCGTACCGCCTTACAAGAACCAAAAAAGTTCGCCGCACAACCACCAGTCGTTAGATATATGTATGTATGTAACCATGGCATAAAGTAACTGTAAATCTTGTTCTCTTTTCGCTAACAGGTAACGAATACCGGCAAAGAAGTGTTATGTGAGAATTGTATTCCAGCTGCTGCTTCATCGCCCATCCGACAACAGGCGAATGCTGCCGAAGGGTCACGCAAGGAAGGCACGGTTTCACCAGTTCCAAAAGCTGAGAGTCCAACACGTGCCACGGCACATCAGCAGATGACTAGTGGTGTGGTGTCGGACAAGGCGCATTTGAAGGAGGACTATGACCCGAACGATTGTGCTGGTTGCGGTGAATTGTTGAAAGAAGGGCAAGCATTAGTTGCGCTAGATCGACAGTGGCACGTTTGGTGTTTCCGGTGTAAAGCTTGCAACGCCGTGTTAAACGGCGAGTATATGGGCAAGGATGGTGTGCCCTATTGTGAGAAGTGCTACCAAAAATCGTTTGGTGTCAAATGTGCTTATTGCAATCGCTTTATTAGCGGAAAAGTGCTACAAGCAGGTGACAACCATCATTTCCATCCGACCTGTGCACGCTGCACAAAATGCGGCGATCCATTTGGCGATGGCGAAGAAATGTACCTACAAGGCAGCGCCATTTGGCATCCACGCTGTGGCCCTGGGCCTTCGGAGTCCGGTGTTATCTTAAACGGTGGCGGACCACCAGTCGGAAATGGTGCCTTTACGGATACCGAATGCGATCGCATTAGCTCGAGTGCGCTGAGTGACATGGTAAGTGAAGACAGTTCGATGATTTGATGTGCACTGCAATGGCTTAACCCTTTTCTACATATTGTAAATATGTATGTATGTATATTGTTTCATGAGAATTGTTAGCTTAATTGGTAAATGTGCGAGTTTGAAGCATGATGAGTTGCACAAAAAAAAAATTTAAAGCACTGTGCACCTGTATATGATTGTGTAGCTGCACGTACGATCCCTCACCTTCCTACTCCCTAAAACCAAAGGATTTTTGCAAAGGAATCGCAAACACAACGCATTGGATCTGTACGCTGATGATTGTGGCAGTGCGCATGCGTATGATTGCACATTGTAATGGATACTATGCTGCCCACCACACAAACCGTCCCAATCTCCGACCATATTGTATCTCCTTAATCCTTCTCTACCACATTTTTTTTATTATTTAATCCCTTTTTTATTGTTTATTTTTGATTTTTCACAATTTGAGCTTGCAATGGTTTTCTGTTGTTTTCAGTACACGCGCTCCAGAACGCCGAGTTTTAATGGTTCACTTTATTCCTCTAGCCGCAAGGTTTGTTTTTCTTTAATTTTATTTGGTTTTTACTTTGGTTTGTATATAATA